TAACTTTGGTTGCCAGTGGATCTGTTAACAGGACACCCACCTTATGAAGAGTTGCCTGAAAATGTGTCAGAGTTTGTGAAAGTGTTATCGAAAAGGATGGATGATAGTCACCATCAAGTGCGTTCAAACTTGAAAACGTCTGCTGATTCGATGAAGTTATCTTATGATAAGAGATCTACTGAAGTTCGCTTTGTACCAGGAGACAAGGTGTGGTTGTATAATCCCAGGAAGACCAAAGGGAAGTCTCCTAAGTTGTCTTCTACATGGGAAGGCCCATATGACATAGTGGATCGTCTCTCAGACGTGACTTTCCAGATAAAATGTAGTCGGCGAGGTAAGCCAAAGGTGGAGCATGCCAACAAGCTTTGTTGTTATCATGGTCCAGGACATTTCAGTTGGGACGAAGTGAACAACAGAACAAATGACACTGCTGAAGACGTGTCACCTGAAAAAGCCACTGTCGAAGAAGAAACTCTACTCAGTTTTGAGAAGGGAAACAGTGAAGCCCTTGATGAAGTTGCTACCACTGATGTTACTGTTACCAATGATAGACATTTCCTGATGAAGCAGATGAACCCCACATGAAGCAGAAGCCAACGAGACGGAGACCAATACGGAAGAAGAAACGTCCCGTAAAATTAAGAGACTTTGTTGAATTGCAATTTTGTGTTTGTAAATTCTGTACATTTAATTAAGTTATTGTTAATTGTTTATTGGTTTAATGTAAGTAGCTATTGTTCGGGACGAACAATACTAAGGAAGGAGCAGTGTTACGACAGTGGAGGTCAGGTGACGCTAGTAACACGTCATATTCTCGAAGCTTCGTGAATTCTCGGGAGGTTACTTTACTTCGGTATTCTTTTACATATAAGACGGTCAAGACGTGACGGCAACAATGTAGTGCTGTGTAATTGAACTGCGGACAGAGAAAGAATATTGTTGAGTCGAGCACGTGAGACGTTCGTTGTGAATTATGGCGTTTGTTATAGCGCGACTGTGGAAATTAAGTGTATTGCAAAGTTGTATTTAGAAAGAAGAAACCAGTTTTATTTAAGAAAGGACTTGTATCGGTAAAGTTTCTTCGGAAATAATTTTTACGGAAAATTAGCTGACGAACGGAGGCGTAACAATAACGTTTTATACCTATTATATGCGTCATGGCATGGTCAGGTGGTCAGGGTGTTCGACTCTCATTCTTCGGGTTCGAATATCTGTCCCATCAAACATGCTCGCTCTTTCAGCCGTAAGGGCGTTATAACGTAACGATCAATCCCACTATTCGTTAGTAAAGGAGTAGTCCTAGAGTTGGCTCTGGGTGGTGATGACTAGCTGCCTTTCCTATAGTTTTTCACTGCTAAATTAGGGACGCTAGCGCAGATAGCCCTCGTGTAGCCTTGTGCGAAATTCAAAAGATACCTTGTTATATGTATCTTGATACAAATATATTGACCTACTTCCACAGCAGACTTTTAGAATGTACCTTCAGCCACTTCAATTCGTAAGTTGTAGGGCGTTTTCGAATATGATTAATTTTACTTCATAAATGTTAACTTATATACTTTTATACAATTGCAGATTAAAAATAATAAATGAAAATATATGACCCAATGAATTCGTTTTTTCCGCTGATATGCCCATAAGAAGGACACGTTTCTCAGTATATCATGACCAATGATACACCGGTAGTTCTTTGGAAAACGTGGTACGCACGCGCGTCTACCTTTCTTACCGCATCTCTTCTGGGGATCATATGTAAGATATCGAATTGCTTGATTTGATTTGCTATATCGGTTTTTACAAGTATAAAACATTTTACCATTTATTTGTTAATGTACTGAAGTTGTTTTGTAATGTAGAATAGTGACTTCGTATGCAGGGCTAGAGTAAATTCAGCTTGTTAATACATTTAAGCTTTGTCGTTGCCCTCGTGGACTTGTTACATGCGATACAACTTAGACTAGACTAGAGTTACCCATATAGTGATTTACAAGTTAAGGTTAGCACGAATACCTGCCATGATGACAGGCTAGTGCCCTAGCCGTTACTAATTTTGTAGTTTTATTGCTATTAGTACTAGTCTTTTAAGGCTTTGTTCAGTTGCTACCTTACATAGTTAGTGTAAAATACATTGATGTGTAGTTGACTTAAATTGACGGGATTATATTTTTACATTTGTATTATCATTATTACTATTAGTTGTAGTGTAGCATGGAACTGAATTAGCCTTAGGCTCTGGTCTAAGTATCCAAATTTCAATATAGCGTTGGATTGTTGTGAAAAGTATGGACCCTGTGATTTTTTAAAATAATTTTATATTTATATATACATGTATCATAAAGTGTGAAACTATAAGTACTAGTCATTGTTCCCTGAAGCCTGGTAATGTAAGCTTATTTTAATTATATGTGCACAGGTAGGGGTCAAAATACACATCACAGCTTTTTAATACTTAAAAAGTGTCATTCAATTTAGTATGTATTTTGTGACAGAGTTGTCAACTCTTCATATTACCCTACATTGCTGATTTAGCAACAGTTTGTGATAGATGAGACTAAATAACCAGATATAATATACAGGGATATTGAAAAAACTAGATATATATTTTAGAGGTTTTAGATGTTATGAAATACAATATGCAAACTGCAGGACGGATTAAAATATTTCTATTCTTCACATGAATATAACGTTGCATTCTAACTTGTCAGAATATGACTACAAGTCAGACTGATGCAATTAATTCATAGACATATCTTGAGTACAAATACTTTTGTAACATATCTAATATTTGAGTACAACAAACAGACTTCTACATTTTATTAAAAGCTTGTTTTGAGGTACATAATAAATTTGAAATTATACAGTAGAACCTCAACATTAAGGGCACCCTTCCAACTGTGTCTAAATGCCCTCTATAGCAAGATGCTTTTAATATAAAAAATGAGCAACATAAAGCCAGATTCCATATTGATCGTACTAAATTTCTTAATTTAAGCCCCCCCCCCCCCCATTTACATGTATGTTAGCAGGATTTTTGTGTGAACTGTAAAAACATTTAATAAATGGGACAAATGTTTTTTAAATTTATTTCTATTCCATAAGTATGAAAATACATGTACAGTACATGTAAAAAGTTATAATGCATTTGTACATCACATACATTTGGTAATTAGCACAAATATGTGTATAGCAAATTTATACTCTTATTCTTTATGTCATTGGTTATGTGTTTACTTTGTAAAAATGTATTTTAATAGATGATTTTTGTCACATTTACACTGGTGGTGTTGCAATTGATCCTCAAGAGTCATGACAGTGTCTAAAATGTCTGACAAACCTCACTCAATTGCAATTGTTGTGCTTCCATGAATGACTTGATGTTGGTAGATGGTGGTTTTGGCTCAGACAAAGGGGTTGACTCTTCATCATTGAAAGTTGTTTCATCACTTTGAGAAAGCTTTCTTGCAATGTCATCTGCAATTCATTGCTCCCAACCCTTATTCAATGAAATTTTGAAAGTAACTATCTAAAAAGTCATGACATGCACACTTCAACCTGCCTGCAGTAAAAGGTTAACTGCCTGCTTTATCGAGTATCCAAATAGAGAACAAGACTAAAGACACTACAATTGACACTTTTGTTCTCACGTCACTCATATATGAATGACATGGTTTTACGGTAATGTATCGCATCACTTGTATATGAGTAATGCACAATATTTTGTTAAATCCATGTCACGCAAATGTGATTCACAGTACTTTAAATTTGTAAGGGGCTATTTGAGTCTGGTTTGTAAGGCTTATTCTTAAGCTTTGTTATGGTTTTAAAATAATGTTTAGTCAGAAAAAACTTACTTGTATACAAATGTATTATAAAAAAAAAAATTCAAAAATTGACTGTGTATATATATAAATTATAAAATGGACAGAATTGTAAAACCTTTTCAATTTTTTTTTTCTCAACTGTGTTATTTATTATAAAAATAAAATATACTTCTTCTTAGAACAAAAACGATTTCCATTATGTGTATAAAAAAAACTAATGATTTATGACATTTATTTTTTTGTTTCAATTTTTTAATTTGTATGATGTTCTTGAAAGCATGAAATGCAAAAGAAAGGGGAAATAGGGCATTGAACACAATATGTATTTACAAGTTTGACTTTCTTTCTTGCAACATCTCTTCCTTCGCTTTTCTTGTCCTTTGCAAAGCATTGAAAACACCTTGTTGCGCTAGCTGACTTATTAGCAACTTCTTTCATAACATGTTGTCATTGGCCAGAGGGCTTAGGATGTTTTTCCAATTTTGGCAGTCCCAGCATTGAAGATGCAAGTTGTTTCTTGAACTCTCTTATTCCAATTTTGGCAGTCCCAGCATTGAAGATGCAAGTTGTTTCTTGAACTCTCTTATTCCAATTTTGGCAGTCCCAGCATTGAAGATGCAAGTTGTTTCTTGAACTCTCTTATTCCAATTTTGGCAGTCCCAGCATTGAAGATGCAAGTTGTTTCTTGAACTCTCTTATTCCAATTTTGGCAGTCCCAGCAATGAAGATGCAAGTTGTTTCTTGAACTCTCTTATTCCAATTTTTGAAGATCTAATTTTCTTGTATATTAGATATCCGTTTACAATACACATTCCCAGTAATATCTCCATAGATAATTTCCAATACTCATTTTACTCCTTTCCTAAGTACAGTTGCATAAGATGTCATCTGATCAGAAAGATCAATTCCAGCTCTACCTTTATTATAATCAATTATCACAGTTGGTTTTTGATTTGATTTTCGAGAGACAGAGATTGTACTTTGAGATTGTCTTTGTATTTCTTCCATTTGTACAATTTCTTTGTACATATTTTTGTTGTTAGCAAATGGACATCTCTCCACTTCAAAACTACAATGCAATTACTATCCTCTTGAACAATCTTTTTTTTTTTTTAGTTTTAGTACCAACATGTATTTTTTCACTAAGAAAGAATTTAGCTAGAGGATAGCTTGTGTAAAAGTTATCGACATACAAAGTTCGTCCTTCGTATCTCAATCCTATGGTCAAATCTTGACAAACTCTTTTGAGCTTACTCAACTTCTCAACCACTTGATGCATTCTTTCCTCTATATCCTTGCAATGACCATACATAACCTTCAGAAGAGCAAAGCTTGAAAACCTTTATGCCATATTTGTATGCTTTGGCTGGAATATAGTGTCTAAATACCAATCTTCCACTCCAAGGTATAAGACTTTCATCAATAACAATACTTTCTTCTGGAGTGTAAAGTTCCTGGAATTTTCTTTGCATTTTGTCAATCAAGGTCTGAATTTTTCCAAGCCTGTTATCAGGTTGTATGGCTTCATTATCAGCAAAATGGATATTTGTAAGTAGTGATTGAAACCTATTTTGTGATATAGTTTTAGAAGCCACTTCATTTTTGTAGAGTGGGTTGGTTGACCAATAATTTGCTGATTTTCCCAGTTTCACAAGTCCTATCCGTATGTTCAAACCAAGAAATTTTTCAATTTCTTCGTCCATTTTGGTTTCCAGGAAGATGTTGTGGATGATCTACGGGAAGCAGATGCTCGATTTTGTTCTGCATACCTATTTGTTTCTCTTGTACTCATGGAAATTATTTTTTTGTCAACAAGATATTGATATATTTCTAATGGGATAATATTTTCTGCTAACCTTTATGTAATTCCTCCATTTCCTGTGTAAAGAAAACTTTGTGTTCTGTCCAAGATACATGATCCTGAGTATGAGTAGCAAGGTATCATCTTCCGTTTGCTCTTCCTCATCTTCAACAGCCATAGCAGAGAGAACTCCTTCTACATCTTCTTCACTATTACTGTCTTGGTCAGCCACAGAATCATCATCTGAATCTAATACAGCATTACTCACTTTTTCACCACTTTGTTTTCACTTTTCTTACATTATTGAAAAATAATTCTTGGAAAATTGTTAGGTACAAAAATCCTGAAAAATCTAGAAAGAAAAAGAAATTGTGAATCACATGTGAGTGACATGGTCCTGGAAGAAAATGGAGAGGTTTCATAGAGGTCCATGTCACTCATTTTTTGAAATTAACAAAAAAACATTATAGATAACAACATATATATATATATACCTAATAACCCTAAATCTGGACAAAAAATTATATTCAAGTAAAAAAAATTAAGCTGGACAAAAGCGAAATTCCACAAATATGGGAGTGAATGTGTTAATGAAAAACTGTTATCCTTCTGCCATCTATGAAGTATAATTTCTTAATGACAGTCATTGTTTTAAAAATCTGCTGTAGGATTGTTTAAAAAGATTTGATTTTTCCATAGTTAACTTCACAAATTGTAATAAAAAAAAATAATATCAAACGACATATCTTTGATCTTTATCATTTAATTACTATGTATGCATATAGAATGCAAACAGGTACACTGATTGTATATGAAACTGATCATTCAAAGGTACTTTTATCACAATATACAACATGTAAAGAAACGATATTCAACATATTTGAGTTTTATTTACTGGGAAAATGTCACAATAAGGCAGAAAAGTGTTTTATACAGTTTTTTTTTCTCAAATATATAGATATTATACTAACACTGTGGGAAACAAGTTTTCAACAAAAGCACAAATATGCAAAACTTGCCCAATCAGCAGCATTTTACTTTTATAAAAAACAATACTTGAGATATTACATATGAAATTGACATACTCCTACAGTTCCTTTACATGTGGATGAATTATTAATAAATTACTTATTTTAGGAATTGATCTTATTGAAATTTCAATTGTGTGAACTACTCAACACTTGCCAAAGAATTCTGATCCTACTGAGTATTGCAGAATAAGTTGGATTATTAAATCATTACAAATTAGCTAAGTAATGGAGTTCTCAAAGCATTTGCCATAGTAAAGTGATCATAATGAAATTAATTAATCGGGTAGGGTACATCAGTACTTACTGATTATTCAGTTCATGAGATTTTCACATAGGATAACTTTGTTTCCAAAGTTCAATAGATTTAAACTGTATAAAGAACCTTACATTGCTATATTTTCCAAATACATCCAAAAGTAATGTGTTTCCATTTAAAAGGCAATTTCACTGTTCATTTTTAATATCATAGAAGTAAATACACATTTTTATAGACAGCAAAATAATTTTTTCTCTTTGACAGGGGAAAAGTTTCATTTTTGTTAGATCAGCTAGATTTTTCTGTTGTTTTGTACAATATAAAGAAATTAAAATGCTAGAATCTAGAATAGAAAAATTAAAAAGCAGTTTGGATCTAATAGTGGGAAAGTTTATTGAATAATATGTCTGATTAATAACAAACCTTCTCAGAAAAATATGCAAGAAACCCTTAACTTAATAAATCAACTTGGAAATGTATGTTTATATTGACAGCCATATAATTGAGGAATGGATAGGTGCAGTAAAATAATTGTTAGCGATATGGTATGATGTGTTGTGGGCCCAGGCTGGTCTTTAAAGATAGGCAACTACCTAGGATGCCAAATATTTGAGGCTTCCACTGTCAATTAGAGGCACAGCCTTAATTTCTGCCTAGGATGCCAGTTAAGCTCTAGCTGGATTTATGGCAATATCATTGAAGTCATGTCCCTACGAGGTTTTATTAATGTACATCATAAACTCAAAATGTCTGAGTCAGAAGTGTAGACAGAAAGATTTAAAAAACTTCCTTCTCAAAAACGTTTATAGGGGTATAAATGCACATCTTCCATACATAAGGAGTTTTGCCACAGAAGATTGAATTCTAATCGTAGCAAAGGTTGTTAACACACACCTAGGTTTGAGTTGTTGCAAGGTCAGAATTTTTATGTAAGCAGGTCATTGTCTTTTTTTAAAAGGTCCAAAAGGTAAAAATATTAAAATAAAAGCCTCTACATAAGGTTGTACATAAGCATTATGCTGACCTGCTCCCAAAATGTTTAAATAATGGCACAGTATTCAGTTGAAAAACAGTTTAACATGGTCCCACTGAATGGAGAATGTCAACACAATGCTTGAGCTGGTGCTAGATTATATGATAAACAGTTCTCAGATGATTGACATCCTTTACATCAGATGATAAGAAATATATCAGCAACTGTGTACTACAAGGTCTTTTATGCATAAACATAGTGTAAGTAGACCAAGAACACCAACCAATATTGTGAAACCACCATATTGGCATTGGTCACATTTGGGCAGCACTTTGAACACATCTATTAGTTGTTTGCCAACATTTTGTAATATTGTTCGTGGAGCAATTTTGGTTTAAAATATTTCATTTTATTGCTTACACACTTGCAACTAACATTTTAGTGTATGTTTCATCTTAATAAAAGTTTTTAATGTGATGAAAAACAGCAATAACAAAAAGTTAGCTTTTTTTTATTTTACCATTTTCAACAAAATGTTTATATTTATTAATATGTGTAGTAACTGCTTGAACAAGTGTATGTCTCATTCTTGGTTTAACAGGCTTTGTTCAAAGCCACTGAGATTAGCCGAGAGAGACACCTTAAGTGTAGGTGCTGGATAAAGTCTGCCAGCAGGGCTGTTTCATCATTAGGTGAAACAACAAGCACCAAATTCTGAAGTTGGTGTTCCAAGCCTGTCTGGGAAGGGAAGTACCATGCCCAGAAAACCATAGGAAAAGTTTCTGTAAGGTTCATCATACCATGTGTATGTAGACACTGACTGGTCAGGTGATGTGTAGAGGCTAAACCTCCATTATTTATGTGAAGGGCAAGTGCCATTATAGTTTTAAGTATATAATGTAATGTTTCTTTATACAACTTTTCACCTTGTAAAGGATTGAAGAGATTTAAGATTTGACAAACTACGGTAGATTTAACTATCCAATAAATGTGACTGTCTTTTGTACTAAATAAATACAAACATACACTGTGGTGTTTTAATTGAATAAAAAATTTTTTTACTGTGTTTTTCACATTTATGTCCAGTCTTTCTTTAACATACTCAATCAGGTACAGCGAATTCATAATTACTTTGTGATAAATATCTGGGTCAAATCTCTCATGATATTCTGTGAATCTATCTTATTCACTCTCAGGACAAATTAGTTTTACCTGAGAATGTCACAGGTATAAGAAACTGTTTTCTACAGAAACAAATTACAATCTTTGCTATTGTGATTAAAACTGTTGTTAACTTGCATGCTTACAGCAACATTTGAACATTGATTTGGCATGTATATAATGAAATAAAGTTTAATATTTCCGAACTAAAAAAATCACCTATTTTATTGTTTATAATATAACACTCTTCAATACTAGTATTGTTGCGTATCTGCTTGTTTGTTAATTTCCCGTAGAAATTCTTTCCGAGAAACTTCAGCGATACAAGTCCTTTCTTGATTAAAACTAGTTTTTCTTTCTCGATACAAATTTTATAATACACTTAACAACTTTTATAACACACACACTATAAATCACACCAATTCACTCACTTTACATATTGCTCGCTTGACTCAATTGTTTATATCTATCTATATCTTATTTTACTTGCCGGGCTTATATACTAAAAAAGAGGGCGTCCCGAACAAACTAGGAAATTCACGATCATTCGAGAACTCCTCGCACACGCCACCAGCGTTACGTGACTTCTGCTGTCGTAACACTGCCCCTTCCTTAGTATTGTTCATCCCGAACAATAGCCACTTACATTAAAACATTAGATAATAACAATAACATGATAAAATGTACGGAATTTACAAACACAAGATTAAAATTCAACAAAGTTTTACAGGACGTATCTTCTTCCCTTCTGGTCTCCGTCTCATTGGCTTCTGCTTCACGTGCAGTTCATCAGCTCCATCAGGAAATGTCCTATTATCGATAACAGTCACATCAGTGGTAGTAACTTCATAAAGGGCTTCACTGTTTCCCTTCTCAAAACCGGGTAGAGTTTCTTCTTCGACAGTAGCTTTTACAGGTGACACGTGTTCAGCAGCGTCATTTGTTCTGTTGTTCATTTTGTTCCAACTGAAATGACCTGTACCGTGATAATTCCAGAGCCTCTTGGCATGCACCACTTTTGGTTTACCTTTACGACTACATTTTATTCGAAAAGTCACGTCTGAGAGACGATCCAGTATGTCATATGGGTCTTCCTATGGAGAAGACAACTTAGGAGACTTCCCTTTGGTCTTCCTGGGATTATACAACCACACCTTGTCTCCTGGTACAAAGCTGACTTCAGTAGATCTCTTATCATAACATAGCTTCATGGAATCAGCAGACGTTTTCAACTTTGAATGCACTTGATGGTGAATATCATCCATCTTTTCAGATAACACTTTCACAAACTCTAACACGTTTTCAGGCAACTCTTTGTAAGGTGGGCATCCTGTTATCAGATCCACTGGCAACCGAAGTTCCCGACCAAGCACCAGCTTTGCTGGAGTGTATCCAGTGGCTTCATGCTCTGCTGTTCTATAGGCCATCAACGGTGGAGGGAGTAAGACATCCCAGTCATCTTGGCGGCTATTACAAAATTT